AAAAAAAGTATTGAATTATTTAGACAACTTTTGGTCAAAATCCCAGTGATCTTTGATCAAATCAATGTGACACAACAGTGTGCGTTAATAAATCTGTCGATGACAATAACGTCCAGTCGACGGTCTGGATAACGAAGCGTTTGATGTCGCAGGCAAGACATATTCACGCAACAAAAGCACGCGGTGACACAGCCGGGAAACTGAAATTAATATAACAAAAACAAAAGGACCCAGCGGGTCTCCTATCGACGAATTTCGGCTTAATTCACGGACGAGGTAGATAGCAGCGCTCGAGTGCCAGTCGCATAATACGAGCCATCAAAACGATATGTATACGTTGTAGCGACTGTTTCAGTGCGGAGGCATATACCGCGCGGGTGCGCGCGCGTGTAACGGGTATAAGAGATCAAAGGCGTCAGTAGCACCTGTCCTCGAAAGCCTCGCTGCGCCTTGTCATCCGGATTGCGCCAGGGGGCTGCCCATTTTCAGAAAGAGTCCGCGCGCAACCAGTACACACGTACGCGCGCGCACAGAAAGATTAAGAGAAAAGAGGAGGGAACGCTGCTACGGAAGCTATATGGAAAATGCACAGAGCTAAATTAAAGGAAGATGTGCAAGCCCAGGAGAGAGAAAGAGAGAGAGAGAGAGAGAGAGAGAGAGAGAGAGAGAGAGAGAGAGAAAGAGATGAAGGATTATTTTGGTGTGGAAAAGCCTGCAAATTAAAACACGGAGATGTTGTGTGTTGTGAACGCCCTTACAAAGAGTCGCATTTATGACTTTCTCGATGATTACAGCGCTTTTCTAATGTCCAATGTAAAACATCTCTTTGAAACTTACTATGCTCTGGATATGCAAGACTTGCTAATTAAAACTTAGCATTTAAGTATCGAGAACAACAATTATGGATCTACATTGTTATTAATTTCAATAGTTTAATGCTCTAATGATCGAAGCATCATATTCTAGCTTTTGTATTCATTGTTTTAAACGAAGTCTGTTTTTAAGAAAACATGAAACGTATAAATGTAAAAGTTTCATGTTTGTTGTTATAAATGTTTCTCCGCTTAAATAACTCTGCAATGTCTTTGGCTTTCGAAAAAGTATGAATAATTTTTATTGAAATAAATTATGTCGAGATAAAAGAAAAGTTAACACGTGTATCGATAACGAGCGATTTTAGCACGATAATGGCTTTTATGAAGTATTATACCAAAGTAAACATTTAAGTCACCATCATCATTTCACATAGGTAAAAGAAATTAAAAAATGTAAAGCGTCAGATTCCAGAAAAAAAGCTAGTCTGATTGCTAGACGGTGTGTTTGCGTATATAAATTCATGCGACTACCCATATGACCCAAGACACCTTAGTCATCCGAAAAAAGCCGGCGGGCTCACTTGAAGAACCCTAGAATTATCGCTAAGTGTTATTGCCTAGACTCTATAGATCTTGCGTATAAAATACTAGGTTATCACGGCTCTTTCGTTCTCTCCCCTTCTCTATACCAATATATAATGCGAGGGTGGACCGAAACTTTCATTCCATGCGCATGGATTTTGATATGACTATTAATTTAACAAAACTGCTGATTTGGAGGTTTTGGGTTGGCACTAACATATTAAAAGTCTAGAATACTCAACGTTTTTCGTACAATTATATGTTAAACTGATATTCCTGAAATACAAAATGTTTCGTTTATTTATTATTACAACAACCAGTATCACTATTTATCAACAACAACCACTAAAGGCTAAAGTCAAATAATACAAAAATACAAGATTATTGTTTATTCTCTTTTAAAAATTTTTTTTTTACACTTGGAAGTATCTTGATTGCTAAATCCTAACTGAGCTATAGAGTGCCGCATTCATTACTGAGAGTCTCCGTGCAAAATAATTGTTCTGCTTTTAAATAAATGCTTGTATAGAATACCGACAAGGATTTCCGGGCGTGTCAAGATTGCCGCAACCACAATCACTCAGAATGTCCTTTTCGTTTACACCCTCATACGTCCCATGAGAGAAAGAGAGAGGTAACCCCCTTTTTCTCTCTACTCGTTATTCCTATCACAGTGTCGTAGAAGCTGGGCGAAACTATCGATGATATTGCTCGTGAAAAATTTTCATCTTGCTTACGTAAGCTTCCGTGGTAAAACGACTGTATTTTCACGGTTGCACTATTCACAGCACGAATGATTATGAGCTGTGTACAAAATATAGTGCACGTATTCGTTTGTGTATAATCATTTTGTATACAATATTTATGTACACAAATGTTACTTAGCCGTTTATATACATAATCGACTAAAGCAGATATTTTTTAATTTGTTATTCAAACTATTGTAATGATATGATAATCCATCCGTTATTTATGTTAATCAGAAAAGTAGTAAAATTTTTTATTTTTACATTTACATAGAGAAATAAGGAATCGATCTCTTTTTTTCTCTTTGCCGGTCATTTTAACATGCGCATTTTGCATTTAATTTGTTATTAATAAATTAAGGACATAGTCTATGACGTACACATTTCACGTGTAAAAATTACAAATTATTGTGAAAGACAGTTTTATGATAAAATTATAATGTATGAAAAAATAAAATATAAACTATCAAGCACGGAGTCCTGACAGAAATAATACTACATTCCTTTAACACGCAAGGATATTGACGACAGTTCCTAATAATCCAACCACGAACGTGTAGAAATATTTCTCTGTCGTAATCATTTCGATGTGGTCGATGAGTCACGCGTCGAAGTTCTTGATCCTAAAATCCCCGAAGGTACGCGGAAGGCCTTAATTGGGTTTCACTAAAACGTTACTCTTGCTCTGCCAATCCTCTACAGCTCGTATTTTTCAAATCTTACTTGTTCAGAGTAAGTTGAGCCGCAAAACCACAAATTACTGTTCCGGTTCTGCTGCCATTAAAAAGACAAGTGTTTCTTTTTTTATTACTTTTTTTCGGGTCGCGTTAAGTTTTCAAGCTTATAAGTTCTATAATCAAATTAGGAAATGAGCTATACACAAATAAAAAACTGCAAAAAATGAATTATACAATTTTATTGTTTCGGATTAAAAGCATTTTTTTCATTAATATAGAGCATATTTTTTTCAATGTATGTTTATATTAGCGAACTGACATAAATTTTATACAAACAAGTTATAATACATAAATTCAATATAAATGAATTTGGCAAGGAACCTGAAGAAATATAATTTTATTAATAACTTAATAAATAACAATCACAATGATTAAAAACAAAGTAAAAGATCAATGGTAATCCTCAACGATAATTCATACAAGTATAGCTTACGAGTAGAATTTCTCTTTCTACTTATTCCAAATAAAATAAAGAGCTATTCAAAAATTATCTGTGTAATTCAAAAAAAGAAGGAGCTAAATAGAAAAGCGCTCTGTTAGGCGATTTAAAAAATATTTGCCGAATAGACACGGTCATTGCAAGTTGCACGAGGGTAGTCTTGAAAGTTCTCATCGCAATGCCTAGATCCACTTTTTTGTAGACGTTAATTACTAAGTACGTTTCCGATTTACTTTGTACTCGTTCGGCGAAGAACGAGAGCGTGCGCGCTAGCATCTAAATGTTTTCCCACCCCTTCGTCCCCTTCTTTCTCTATCTGTCTCCCTCGCAAGCTGCGTCTCTATGCATCCCCTTACTCTCTTGCTCTCTCTCTCTCTCTCTCTCTCTCTCTCCGTCTATTCCGCCCTCAATTTCATCTCTCGTGCCTCTCTCCCTCCAGTGTGAGTCGGCGGCGGCGACGGCGGTGGGGCGCGCTTTTACCGACGGCCTAATGATTTGCAAACATCATCCCTCAGCTCGTTCCGCTCATTACAAAGTTTTTGCCGAGCGTGTTATGCGTGAACAAGGCAGACATCTTCACGAAAGCTCGTGCGCTAGTAGAAAGAAGGAAGGGCGGGATGAAGGAAAAAGGTCTGCCGAGGAGGGGTTGAAAATGCTCGAGAAAGAGAGAGAGAGAGAGAGAGAGATATGGCTGAGCAGAAAACCTTTCTAACTACTTTGCTGCCGCTCTTCGGCAGCCGTGTTGCTTCTATCTCTCTTTCTCTCTCTCTCTCTCTCTCTCTCTCTCTCTCACTCTCCTCTTTCTCTCTATCAAGTATTATATTGTGAAACACCGTCCCCCTTAAAAGCGTACTTGCCGGCTAAAAATATCGGAATTTCATTCTTCTCCAAGTTCATTTTCTTATACTGGTTTTATTAATCTGTTTGCCGTTATTGCATATTTTCTTTGCAAGATAATTCCTCCTGCTCGTATAATTATATTAATTATATTATAGTGATCTTATCAAGATGAAAGCGATATTGTATAATTATAATTTACATCAATTTATTTTCATATTTTGATTCAGTAATATTAATATGTCATTCTCCAATGATACATAAATTACACGTAAATAATTTAGCAGTAAAATAATCTATCGTTTCAGAACCATTGTTTTATGCACATAAAATTTGAATACCATACACAAAATTCACTTACAAGTATTAGGAAATTATGTTTTTACTAAAATCTTTTCTTCGATCATTGGTTTTTAGCATAAGATTTATTTCTAACAACAGATCCATATTTGTCAAATTAATTGTATTTATATTTTATTTAGATTCTACAAATTTAAGTAATTTTTAAATTTTGAATACACAACTGCTGCCATCTAAAATTTTGTTTGAAAAATAACTTTGTTAAAATTATTGATTAGTTAACAAAAAATCTAATTTACTTCGAAAATATTCTATTCTCGATAAAATAATTTATTGGCTGAAATGAAAACAATTACATTAAATATTTTTACTTTTTATAACATTCCAAGTTTTATACCGGTCCCCAATAACATAAGCTAAGTTTACGATTTCTATATTCCCGACGATAATCAACTACATTGTAGGTGGCTACTTTAGCAACATTTGATATTTGATAGTTATCGCTTTATTTGCTCTCACACCTGCAGTAGTCAGTACACGGATATTTAGAAACTAACTGGGAACCTATGTGTGTCCGCCAGACAATGATGTTTTGAGGTTAGTTTTTCTCTATAGACGCTGTATTTTTTAATTGTAAAAAAAAGAAAGGGGTTTTTAAAGAGATAAAATGGAAGTTGATACAGCAAGTGATAATACTTCGTTAGATGATAAAACCGAAGATTACTGTGAAAATCCTACAAGGGATGCTCTCACAGAAGGAATTATGAGTCTTTTGAAACCAACTGTAGATCAACTTGATGAAAGGATTCGTGCTACTAGGTGAAAATTATTAAATCACCTGATAAATATAATCCTAAGAATTATTTGAATTGTCCATGAATTCACAACAAACCAATTAAAATACCGGTTATTCTCAATAATTGATTATTTTAAACAATATATATCAACTCATTTCGAAGACATTAAATGTTATTTTTAAACTTGTTTTATATATATATATATATATATTCTACAAATAGAAAGTATTTATTCATATCATGACTTATAAAATAACATTTGAAATATATTGATAGTAGAATAAAATTAGTTTTGTATTGTCTTGCATTATAATCATATCTATAATAGTATAAATAATTTTCAATGATTACAGAATTAGTCAGATCGAGCTTGGTCAACAAATCAATTCCTTAACAGAAGATTTAATGAAAATCAATGAATCTCTCCAGTGTCCATTGGAATTAGAAGGTTATGTGACAAAGTTAATAAATGCTAAAAGAAAAGTAGTGGTAGTTAGTAATATTCTTCAGAAAACACAAGAGCGTTTGAACAAAATTCATCAAGCTGTTGAGAGAGAAACAAACAAGCGGAAGGCATTATTAGATCGTAGTTCATCATATCAGAGTACTACAATAAAAACAGAAACAGATGATGTACTAGCAAGCTCAAGTGCTATATAAATATCTTAATCAATAGGCAATATACCACTGACTGAAAAATATATTGTAAATTACTATATTAAATTAAGTAATAGTTTTTGATTTATACTTAATATTAATTTTTTTCCATTAGGTAATAGTTTTTGTTATCTTATTTTATTTATTAATACAAATATGGAAACACCAATTATCAACTTAACAGATCTTGAAGCAGAAAATGTTTACGAACCATCAGAAGATTCATTTTTACTTATAGATGCCCTAGAAATAGATTTAGAACAATTAAAGCATAGACAACCAGCAATATGTTTGGAAATTGGTACAGGATCTGGTGTTGTGATTAGCGCTCTAGCAATGGCCTTAAAAAAACATTGTTTATCATATTTTCTTGGCATTGATATAAATCCTCAAGCTTGTAAAGTTACTAAAAAGACAAGTGCTATAAATAATGTAAATGTTGAAGTTGTTCAAATGGATTTGTTGAATAGTATTCAGGCTAAGCATATTTTTGATGTGATTATATTTAATCCGCCATATGTGGTCACTGAGTCATTGGAAGTTTTTGATGATAAACTTATCAGTAAAGCATGGGCAGGTGGCAACAAAGGCAGACAAGTAATGGATAGATTATTCCCGTGGATTCCAGCACTTTTATCAGAAAATGGTCTCTTTTATTTAGTAGTAATCAAAGATAATGAACCACATAATATTATCAACATTTTTAGAGAGTTAAACATGACTGGCACTATAATTGCTGAACGAAAAATTAGGGGAGAACATTTATTTGTTTTAAGGTTCCAGAAAAAAGAAGAAATGCAAATGCAATAGTAGTTCATAACGTGTTTGAGGAAATGGGACCAAACCTCTCGTGGTTTTATTTGTAAGAAATTGTTTTTAAGAAAGGTCGAAATTCTTTTTTACTGCTATTTAGAATGCGTGTATAGAAACTATTCTGTAAATGTGAATGTTTACATGTCCTTTTTATGGATATATGATTTGCATTGATGATGCAACCATGTATTGCCAATGTATCCAACAAATTTATTTTAAAATAGAATCTCTATTTGACATTTCTACATAAAATTGATGTATTTGTAAATAAGTGAATTAATTATTCCGTATATTTAATAAAAGAAAGATAGGTATGAATTGTTTGAATATATTTTCTTAATGTTTGTATGCAATTCTTCTAACTAACATACTTAAAAATAATATTTATTTTTTTTTAAAGATGAAACCATTTTTATTTTTACAGTGAAGATATTATTAAAATCGTCGACTAATTCTTTATTTCAAGCAAGACAAGATTTTATTTGAAAAAAAAAAAACTGTTTTTTCTTTATTGTCGGCGAAAAATTCGTCTTTAAATATCGACAATCGTATTTATTGTGAATTCCGTTTACGACTGAAGCCGTACAGCAAGCGCTCGCTTGCAAACGTAATTTCGGGCGTAGATTTCCAACTGGGGAATGTCATCCACCTGGGGCTTAATTCGCCAGCGGAACTAAAGACAAAAAGGAACAAGCGCGAGCATACGGAGCAGGACGGAGGAAAAGGGATAGAGCATCCGTCTTGGGCGCTTGGAATTTCCTTTGAGCTCCGTGGAAATCTCGCTTGCGCCACGTCTAATCGTGGCGCGCGACTTCAACGAGTCGTCGATGACGAATCGATTGAGCGAAATTGCGAGGACGCCCAGTTCTCACATTTTCGCCTTCTCTAGTTTGTACCTGTTCTTTTCCAGAGACCGCCCCTTCTCGCGTTTTTGCTGTTTAATCATTTTCCCTCTCTTGGAGGAATACGTCTTTGCGTCTCTTATTGCACTTCGCTCTTTCCCTCGCTCTCTCCCTCGCTCTTTCCATCCCTCGTTGCGCTTTAATAAAAGCGACGTCTGCGCTGCTTGGCATCGAGAATTTATCGATATCACGCGCTGGAATTATTTACGATATTATTTGGCTTTCTTTTATTTCCACATTGCTGGCTGGTCGGTGACGGGTGACAGATTTTTTCTTTCTCCATCGCTTGCGAAAGAAATACCTACGAAAGCATTCATTTACCAATTAAAAGTTTAAGCCATAAATCTCGCCAGAGTGAGTAAAGAAAAATTATAAATTAAAATATCGTAAGGATTACGAATCCAATCAGATTTATAAGTTTTAAGTAAATGTATATATTGTATTATCGATTATCAAAGATTATAATAAAAGGTATATCGATTGAAAACCAATAATTATTTCACAATCATATTTTCGCATAAAATTCAACCAAAAATAAAAATAAAAATACCATTATTATATCAGAATTGTATAAGAAATTAAAAATTTATTTATAAGATGGATAAAAATTGAAGTGCTTGTATTGTAATTATTGTCAGTTGGATTAGAAAAAATCATATTCGCAATGACGTTTATGTCGTTTATCTCGTGTAATTGATTGATAAAATATCGCGAAAACCACAGTGTTAGTAATACAGCGAATGCAATTTGCAAATGACCAGTTCTATATATGTTCCTTTTAACAAAGTGCAACTCTATTATTGCCTAGATTCGTCGTTAATAAAATATAAAGAAAGATACGGGAAAGGCGACTGCAGAGCGACAAGAATGTCTTAAGCGCTGTTAGAGATTCACTTTCAATACTCTAGCATTAAATCGGATAAAATTTTTGCAAGCTTGTTACGAGCTCGGTGCTAAAAATAGAGAAAAGAGAAATAGTCGAAAAATCGGTGGGGCCGAAGCAGACACGTGAAGTAGGAAAAGAAAAACCGCAGACGTACGTTCGCTGGCTAGGGGTGAAGAGACAGCAAGCACAAGGGGCTTGTTGTTCGCTTGGTCCGTTCTATATCTGGTCTGACCAGAGCGGAGCAGAGTACGGTAGCTCGCCGATGCCTCGAGAAAGAGAGAGAAAGAGAGAGAGAGAGAGAGCAGCGCTTTATACCCTGCGGTCATGTGGGCAATTTATCTTACAAGCTCGCGCGCTTCGCGCTGCAAAGAGAGAGTTCAGATAAATGGACGAGGGAGCGAGAGAGAGAGAGTGAGAGAGGGAGGCGCGTTTCGTCGCCGAGCGTGGGCGAAAGAGAGCAAACACAAAAAGAATTGTCCAAGCCTCTAAATGGACGCTGAGAAACGTCGATTCGGCCCATTGCCGTTTCTCGTTTTTCGGCGCTGCCGAAACGAAGAGTTTTTTTTTACTCTTCTTCGCCCTCTTCATGTTTTATTTCCACCTCCGACGACGACGGCGGCTGCGGCGGCGCCTTTTTGTTTGCCTTTTTGTTGTCGTTATTGAAACTATACGGGACTTCCCTTCGATTGCACGAAATCCAATCAATTGCGAATCCTCAAGCCTCTTCTCGCGCGCTCCATCACGTCGCACTTCTATACGCAGTCGCTCGCTCTTTTTCCCTTCTTTCTCTCTCGTTCGGCTTTATATTAATTGAATTTTTTCAAAGAGACGTTTCGTTCTCATCAACACACTTTCATTTAACGTGAAAAGTCGCTCGGCGATTCGAATAAGCATGACGGATCATCTCGTTAAATATAGATTGCCGTTTTCGAGGAAATAAAGCGCGAGTTATTTCATGCCATTCCACGGCTGATTAATTTCTAAAAATTCAGCAGCAAACGGAATCACTTTGGCTCCTTTCTATCTGGAAGGCGAGCAGTCAGAGATAAATTACAGTTATATTCGTGGAAAAAAAAATCTAATTCTGCAGAAGCTCGGTAAAGTTCGATGGGGCGCACGAGCGAGCGCGGGGCGAGAATCAGGTCTTCGCTTTCGCTGTTCTATTTTTCTCTCTCGATCTCTTCCTACCCAGTATACCTACTCTCAGTAATTTTTCTTTGACACGAACTCTCCTTCAATTCCCTACCTTTTTTCATTATTATTTTTTCAATTTAATTCATTAACCTTTCATTCAGCAGAATTATAAATGTCTAGCTAGAAAAAGTCTTACAACGAATGAAAAAGAGTATCGTACGAATGCCCTAGTCAAGAAAAAGTCACTACGTATCATAAAATACAATACAATTAGCAAGTTTCATCTAGTAACATTCCACCAAATTAATGTACATCAGTATTGACAATATTTTTTTTATATCTTCTATTAAGATATTTAATTTCTAATAAAATAGTTTACATTCCATTAAGTAAATAGTATATGTATAAAGATTTTACTGGTGAGCTTTAATTTTCAACTTTGACGCTGAGTGCATTCATATGGTTGGTTTCTTGTGTCTCGACAGACCTCACAAAGCCAACTCAGAGAAAGAGGCAGAGGCCAACAGTTTACCAATAATAAAGTTTCAGGCTTCACGCGAACGGGTTTTGGTCCCACTGCATTTAGCTTTTCAGTAAAATTGTAGAGTTTTCTTTTGTACAGCTTCATTCGTCTTGGAATACTTTTTTATTATACGAGATGCCAATCAACTTGAAGCTCCAAAATAGTATAAATTGCCAAGTTTATTAAGTTTGGAAGAGTAATTAAATTACCAACTGTCAAGAGTTTATTACCTTTTAATTATAAAAAACATGGATAATCACAAATTATTGCGAAATTATTTACAAATAATATTACACTTATCCACAAATATCAAGCGCTTTGATATAAAGAATAATTAAAATTAATTATACATATACACTTACTTCAAATTAATACATCAGATACACAAATATGGTACAATGTGTAAAAGATTGATAGAAAACAAATTATGGATCCAAAGCGTTTCACAACTAAACAACATTTAAATTTAAATTTACATTGGTAATTACAATTGATCACTTCAGATATGCCCCAATTGGACCTAAAGATTATATTAAGCTATAATCTCTCCTGGAGTGAACCGGCTAAGAGTTTCATTGTATTCCTCTTGATAATTTTGCCGTAGATTTGCATCGTTTTGACGAGGATGCTTCATTAACACTCATATATATTATAAGGATTGTGTGGCTAAGAGCTATCCAGATTCCACGCAAATGATGATGTTGAAAAATTTAAAAGTGTATTCACTTTTTTTCTTTCGACATGCAAGATACGTCAGTACATTAGCGCTTCCTACTCGATATTCCAGAAACAAATATCATTACCATTCTACTTGGCTTACTTTCTTATGCCACAACAACATTTAAATTAATTGGTAACTTCATTTTCTTGTGTGTCCACCGATGAAAAATTCCGCGGTCGACATATCATCTTCGAATTCAGTGTTTTGAAATTTGCATTTATTTTCAAGATCAGATTGTTTGAAATGGTGTGACGTCGAAGGTGAATATATAACTTCGTTATAATCTTGGGTGTCTTGCTGTATAACGGTCCAAACATTCATATTGCCTGATTGCTTTGCCAATTTTAGAGTAATATTCGAGCTGGTCGGCGATGACTGATTGTAACTTTCTTCCGCCATGCGGCGTTTCTTGAACCAACTATTTACTCTTCTACTGGAAACTTTAAGAATTTTAGCTATTTGATCACATTTCCACGGGTCAGGTGATTGGCACTTGCTAAATTCGCTCTCCAACACAAAGATTTGCCGAGGACTAAATTCTTTACGTTTCTTCTTGACCTCCAAAGTTTCATTTTGGATAATGTGTTGATTTTGTAATGTTTGGATACATTCGGCATTCTGAATCCAATCTGCAAAACAAGTATTTATCTTGATAATTTGTAAGTTAAAAGAAAAATGCACATAACTCACGATTACAATACAAACTTTCTGATTTTACAGATGCTGTAAAAGCAGAAAAGTCGTCGTCAAACTGGCCTCGTTTAGTTGATTTTTGTTGGAATTGAAGCACAGTTTCTATAATAATTTGTAAAATGTCGTTTATAATTTCTTTATCCAAATCCTCCATCCGATCATATTCAGATGACAACGACACATCCATCAGTTCTGCATATTCATCAAATATCGAAGGTTCGGTCATTTTGATTAAGTAAAAAATACAGTTTATATTATATATATTTTACATCTAACTCATACCAGCGCCAACTACAGTAAATCCGAAACGACTAACTTTTCATAAGCATGGCGGTTTATCGGCGACCACCTCAGGTGCTTGTTCTCAGACTTTAGTACTAATCCGTTTTGAATATGACCTATTAAACGGATTATCCCTTAAATGGTATTAGAATATTTATATTATAAAGTATTGCTTCTATCATAAATTTACAGCTCGTACTAATATGCAGGGTTAATACTAAGTATGTATTTAAAAAATATTAAGAATTATACGAATAGAGTTAGTTGATATATTATCGTAAGATATGAAGCGAAAGAAAGTAGGTCTATAGTAAATACCAAAATGACAAGGAATTCGAACTATTTTTAACGCGCTTTTTTTAATTTTGTAGTTAGAAATACGTAAAATATTAAATATTTTTCAAGAAGCAAATTTTACCACGGTACAAGGCGAGAAGACTTGTAAAATACTTTTCGAATAAATGTATAATAAATTCTATTCTTACACTGACTTTAAAGCAGCATTATTTCACGAATGACAAAATATTTTTGATTGAATAATGAATCGATTTTATTAATGAAGAAAATGCGTAAATGGTTGCAGATTAATTCACCGTCAAACAAATCAGTAAGCTATTGTGATGCACATTATCCGACGACGAATTGACTGCAGCCCTCTATATGCGTGAAATCTGCATCGCGGCGTCATTAGGCGGCCACGATGTCAATTAAAGAAATTGCCAAGGCAAGCGAAACAGTGCGATATCGTTTATTTGAATTTCAATTAAGGAACGGCGTTGATGGCGTTTATATCGGGCCACACAGCACTGTAATGCTATACTGTACTAGCGTTGTCATTAACACACCCAAGTAGAGAACGTTAAGGAACAGGATATTGATGAACGTTTAGCTAAAATCAGCTATCTCTGCATTTGCTTTTACCTTCTTGTGGTTTTTATGGTTGGCTCTATGACCAATTAACACTTTTTCTATTAGTAACCAATTTTTTATTAAAATTAAATTAGTAACTAATCAAACGATAATTAGAATTAATGCTGGTAAAATTATAATTTTTCATGAAGTGTACATTCATATATTTCGTTTTTTAATGATTAATATTTATCAGTTAATGCTCAGTGGTAAAACTTACTTTTAAACTGCATGACGTGAAGAGTAATAATCACTGAAACGTACTAAAGGCAGCGTATAAAATTTAAACTCTTGCTTTCCTAGCAAATGTATAAATTAGGTACAAGGAGATTCAAATTTTGATGTTGAAAAATTTCAGTACAAAAATAGCATTTCTTGAGCATCAATCTTAAATATTATGCTACTACAACTACACCAATGTCGACATAATTGGCAACAAAAAATCGACTAGGCATTGACGCTTCAAACGTAGCAGTTGACTATTTGTGAGGTACTTCAAGATGAAATTTTTTAATAAATACAGTAAACTGATCGGTCATTCATTTGTTTTGATTGATAGTTATATATATGTACTTTCATTGTAAATAAATAATCAGCAAATAATTTATTCATGCGTATGTTTTATTTGAATCATATGTTATCGTTACTGGTTTTTTGCCAAATACATTGCTCAATCATTCGTCAGTATCTACGACGGATAAATGTGTATTTTTGTGCAGTGATGTTCGATACACAGGCCGAGCATCTGCTTAAAAAATTTAAGATCAAGTTCAAAAGCATATTTTTGTATAATTTTGCAGTTGTGACTCTGAATATTATCGGAAAACATTACAGTTACTTTCTACTGTATAATAGTCAGCGGCATAGATGAAAAGTGTATAGGTAATTGTTTCTATTTGAATTTTTGATTGAAGCTCTGTTTCAGTATTATTCCTTGCACATTCAATACTGTATTGTTAATGTATTTTATACAGAATTTTAAACAGTATTGAATAGCCCGACTTTTATCACTTTTGATTTCAGATTTCCTGCTATTATTTTGACGTGGTCATCATCATGTTTAAAAGCATTTTAACTTTCGTATTATTGTGGACAGTAATATTGAGGGTGCAAGCCTGGAAAGAAGCAACGTATGCACGTGAAATAGAGATTCACGCGAGTAACACGTTCACTGTAGCCAATCTTGTTTACTTATTCACTGTAACGAAGAACCAGACGCACGTCGGTATCAAGTCTAATTTCAAAGAATTGGAACCATGCATTATAACCGTAGACCCTATCAAAGATGACATAATTGGTCGGCTACAAGCCGCGGCTCATTGGGCAAGCCGAAACATTATTGTCTGGGGTGTACGTAACTCGGAAGTTATTGGTCGGATTAGAAGGACGCAGTATGCGTCATTAATGATCGACCCATGGGTCTGCAAATATCAAGCGTTAAAATTACCAGTGGATGTGGTGCCTCGTGATTATCCTTTAATTTTACCAAATGTACTGGCCGCCAAAAAGAGTTTTGACATATTTTTCCCGAGCCAACGAATATGTGCACCTTGTCGTTTCACCGAAAACGGAGAAAAAATTGATTTAACTCATCAGATTCAAACTAATGAAGATGAATACGTTAGATCGTTCTTCATTGAATCCTTCGAATCGAGCCAATTGAATGTAGCTTACTTTTATGTCTGCAATTTCGATAACGACACGGCAGTTTTGAAATTGCTTGATCGCGACTTTGAGGTCGTCAAAAAGGAGTATCTTAATCATACTGTTGATGATATTTCAGCTAATTACGTGAGTTACGTTTACAATTCCATCCTTAAAAAACAACACATTTTGTAAAAAAATTGCCAAGAACAATACTTGCAATATACTTTTAATAGCTTACAAAAAGTTACTTACAAACAAAAAAATAATATAATTACTCAAATGTTCAATACTATAGATTGCTTTTATTTTATAGGGAGTCCATCGCAATTCACGCGAGGTTGTCCATCGTCCTCATATCGGTGTCTGCTATACCAACCAATCATTAGAAGAGGAAAATATTGAAGTTTACTGCAAACACTTTGATCCTGAACTGAAAACTATGTTTAGATATCACGTGCCGTTACTCGCGGAATGTTTCGGTAACCATACCACGTTGAAAATTGACTCTCAAGGGAACTCGTTCGTCGGCATCGCTCAATATCCACCTATCAAGCATCAACAGGACAAACCCGTTAAACTCTATCTTTTTCGTTTCGATAACGTTGGCAGTCTTGTTGAAAAGCTTCATTTTGGTAAAATCGAAGCTATATACAAACACCTCGAATTACATAGTATCATTGTCAATCGAGAATTTTGCCTTGACGTCATACAACTCTACGGTCCAACTGAGCTAAGTGACAGAGAAGTGATAAAATGCATCAGTTTGTTGACTTAAACAGAGTAAATGGCAGTTATATTACAAATTCATTTTGATTTTTCACTAGTGATTTTTCAGTGCAGTGAATTATCCATTATGCTAAAACATTGGATAATATTTAATACTTGTAGATGATGTACTAAATATTTGATTTACTGTTGATGAAACTATCTCAACAGAAAAATAACAAATAAATACTAAAATAATAATATAGTATAATAATTGTTAGATATCAACTCCTAAATGTATTTTTAAGTTTTCAGTATGAATGATAAAGATGTAAAATATTAATAATTATTATAAGTCATGAATGAAGGTTTCAATTTTAAAATACGAATGTAAAAATACGACTTGCTAATTTTATTCAATAAATATAATGTTACATCATTATAACATTAAAGAATATTATATAGTATCGTTCAGTAATTTCGTCCAACGTGCTCGGAGACTGATAACGAAAAAAGAAATTAAGGCAGGATAACATTTATACAGATTTTACGTCAAATGTGATAGCAACTCCTTCAAACACTTTTTCTAAAGATGCCTCATATACGATTTTATATTCATTCATGCACACTGTACAGAGCGTTTTAAGTGACCGAATGAGAGGTAGGAAAAATGTTGAGTATTTTGCTAATATCTTTTCAGCTCAATTTACATATGCGTTCACCTCGTTTCTTGCTATTACAGCTATTCTAATGATAAGTGATAGTTTTAGTTATAACGAAGTTTTATAATGTTTCCTCTCACTTTTCCTCTAAGACAGCACAAAACATGTAGTATGTTACAGTTTTCTTTTTACATTTTATTGATTTGGAGCGAAGCGTTTCAGATTACAGCTCACTAAATTGATTTGTACACATAGTTATTATGTATAGCAGAGCTTGACACTTGTAGTAATTGTTTATTATAATTTGAATTCAAATTTTATAAATACATTTAAAAATCACATCATTTATAATAGAATTTCCGGTTGAGGTTAGTATTTGATCTTGTTTTGATTAAAGTCAAAAAAATCACACAAAAATATTGATCTTTGTTCAAGAACAACATTTTTACGGAAATTAAAGTTTTAACTGTTCAGTGTTTAACTTTCGATATTGTATACATAACGCACAAGCATCTATATTTTTACATGTACTATAATTCAAATTCAATTTTATAAATCATATATTCCTCTAAAAAAAAGAGAAATCACATTTTCAAAAGAATCTTATCAACACATTGATTCATGATTGATATAAAAAGTCGCTTAATGTCTGCTACTAATTTTATAAAAACCAACGCTACTATCTAATTCCGCGATATAAATTTTTAGTTGGCTTAATTCTTATGTCATACTTTTTAAAAACAATTTTCATAGTTTTGAGCTTTGCTCAAATTTTACTCAACCATTTAAACATCAAGACACATTCCCATCAATATATTCTAATTATATATATCTGGAATTTCCGCACAAAATAAGATGATATTTAAATCTAATTTATATATATGCTTTACACTGGCAAAATGTTGAACGATTTCAGTGATATAAGCAATCGAGTTTAATGATGAAAAGTGAATCCAATGACTGCGATGGAATGATTATTTTAAAACTCGGTTGCTTATCCCGCTAAAATGTTGAATATTGTCGTACAGATAAACTCGACTTCGCTGTCATTCTAAAAGATTTAACAAAAAAGTTACATGTTTTTTTATTGTTGACCTTAAGGAAGCATTCTGTTTTAAAAAAAGGTGCCACTATAATTTATAATTAGTTATATTTATCACATTTGATAATTTTAAATGCTTTTAGTTAAAAAAAATTGTTTATTTTTTCATTTGATATTGGAAGAACTTTGTATAAATTTTAATATTTCGAGTCGAGTGTAGGCTCATAAGTGATTTAAGATATTCTTCTACTATTTATATTAAAAAATAAGATATATTTTTTATCACTTTATATACAATTTACTGTTCATTTCATAATTGTTCTTAAGCATAATAAATAATTTTGAAAAAAAGAACTAGCTAAAATTAATCAAACAAATGTAACTTAAATATTTATCTATATGCTCAGTTTCCATAGAGAAATGCACTTTCACTCATCATAATAACAGATGTCTATTTACAATATAAATAAACCTTCGTGTATTCAAAATTAGCTAATTTTCAAAATAAAAATTAAATTTAAATACATCTATCGATTTGACAATCGCCACAATCATCTCTTTTAAATTACCATTCAAATAAAAGAATTATTTGTTAGTTTATAGTTGAAAATTTGATTTTCTACCACATAAAAAATACTAAGGTGATCTTCGATACGTTTCATTTAAACATCTTTGTATAACCAAGTTGTGTAATTCGTTTTCCGAGGTATATATAACAAATGATCATTTATGCAATTTCATTTCATGATAAGATTGAAGGTATTCTTAACCATAATTTTATTCGATCGATACTTTAATGTTGGCCAAAGGTAAAATTGCATATATTGTAGAAATTTATATGGAATATTTACATTTCCCTCGCCTTTCGACAAATATTGAAATTTATTTTATGTGATACTTCAGTTTATAATTGTACTTTGTTTAACTGTTAATTAAAGCAATTTTTAGCTGCCATGTATATTAAATTTGACGATCATAATATTTTGTTTACTACCATTTATCCCAAATGCAAACAATGAATTTAAAATATATTAATTACAGGTACGTAAAAGATATTTAAAACTTTTTAGCCAAATCACAATATTTTTTCAAATCAACTCGAGTCTTGACTAATCTGTCAAATAAATAGAGGACATTGACGTATACGTTGAAATTATGCATGTAATTATAGAGAACTTAGTTATATATGTGATTTATATACGTGTCAATTAAAAATCATGATCAGATTCCGAAAATAAGCAAATGTTACTTTGAGCGTTATTATGGTTCTATCACATGTGTTAGTTTTCACTTCTTTTTATTTCAAATTTTAGCAAGACATGGCTGATATGTACAATAGTAAATATTCGTTTCTGTTTCGGATTAGAGAATCTAATCCAAAATTTAATGTAGTTAAATTTTATATTCTGTAGGTATACTATAAGATTTCATTCTCTAACTTAGTTATGTTTTCGAGTTTTACTAATAATGATAGTATTAACTTTATGACAAACCAAATTAACTAAAATTTTTTGAGCATACTGTATATAAAAAAATATCAAAGGTACATCTTGGCGTTTTTATAACAAAGGCTATCTAAGTCAAAAAAATTTATGAATATTTGCTGTTTTACAAGTATTTTCTAATTATGTAGATTCCGTACGTTTTATTGTAATATCTTTTGCTTGAATCCAAATATCTTGGCATAATGTGTTTTCATACGATAAATTTGATGATACGTAATTTGATCTATCGTAGTTTTAAGTGAACTACTTTTTTGGCGTTGAAATGGACGTAAATCTAATGTAACCATGTTTAATCGCCGAAAAAAGTACTTTGCTTGAGTGTGCGATAATTCAAGCCCGACGTTATCAAAATAGATGAACGAGGTATCAATTTAAAGGGTAAAAAGCAGCTTTAAAATGAGCAATCTTGCATTCAAAATTTGTCTTGGTCGAAAGTTGTGACTGTAAAATTTCAAAGGATCATTTTCTAAATATATTTTTCTCCTTAGCTCAGATAGCTCAGATGGAACAAGATGCTAATGTCTAATATTTTTCGACATAGAATATGCTCAAAAAATAATAGAGCATTTGGTTTACTAGTAGTTTATACTTTCATTGTAAGTTTATAAATAAAATGTTGCGCTTATTTTAACCACAATTAATTTGAAGTACACATCTCAAAATATTTTGTTAATGTTTTGTCAAGTAAATGTTCAGAATTAAATTACATTAATTGCGTATTATTGATAAATAAATATTGTTTTCTATTCCTATAAATCAAGTTTCAAACTTTTTTATTTTTTTATTTTCCTCACATTGAAGGTCGATTTTTTCGTAAGAACTGTTTACATGTACACTTTTTCAATTGCTCGCTCAAGTTTTCTTTTTGAACGATAGCTTGATCGAAATCTCGCAGATACCGGTAATACGCTTTTTGCGCTTGTGTGCTCCGATTCGTCAAACGAAAAAAACCGCACACGCTCCATTGACGTGACTGATTGATAATTAACGCTTCTAGCGCTCAGCGCAAATACCAGCTATGCGCTCATTCGTAAAGCGAGACTTCACCATTACCGTACTTCCACAATCATAAAACACATACACACATACACACTCATATATATGACGACTGTTTTTCATGTTAACATTGATGTTCGGTTCATGAACACTTTCATACTCATTATGTATACAACGTTGTTTTAGACTTTTAATTGACTTACACCGGCAGATATTTTCGTATTCTCAGAAAAATATATTTGATGAAATATTTACAATTTTTCAAAGATATTGAAACAAAGTATAAATTATATATTTTTTTTACAACCATCGGTGTAAGTACAAAAATATTTTTAACTGCAACTTCTCTGATTCATTGTAAAATATACAAAAATTATTCGTGAATTCGTCACAAAATAAATAAAATAAATGAAGCACAGATGCCAAAAGTCAATAAAAACTTAATTACATAAAATTATAAGACATTTTCTGAGAGTACATCACACGTAGTTTCATACAAAAGATCAGTTATTCATTTACAACACAGTTCTTTGTTTTTACAATTCGTCAATAAATATGCTAAGGAAATCTCTTAAATTACACATCAACTGTATTTAATATTCACCGAATGCACAAACATACAAGATCACTGCACACTTATCACTCTTAATGCAGGTTCGTTGCAAAATTAAGATTGTAAGTTTCTAGCTCCATAGGTTGCAGCGCAATTTGCTGTAGTCCGTCCTTCAGATACTTGTGCACTTTCGTACCAGTGAGTGAAGTTTTCGTAACGTTGGGAGCAGTCAATTTATAAAACGAAGTGTCAGACGAGAGTTTATCGTAGAGCGGGCAGTGCTTGATTGTTATGTCAGCGCCAACAGTACAACTGTAGCCTTGTCTATGCAGAACCATCAGCGCATTACTGGTAGGGTAGTGAGGCATTTTTGGGTCATGGTTCGTTCTAAGATTCAACAGATGAATGTCACAGGGTAGACTTTGGCTGAGCAGCCTCGTCTCCGGTGCCAATTTGATCTCCGTCTCCGAACCGTCAACGACAAAAATGTTGACGGGGTAGTTCAAGGAATTACTCATTTGATTAGCAAACAGAGATGGCTTGGAGTATTTGTCCTTTTCACCGAGTACATCTTCCAACAGTAACCAGTGTTTGATAACCGTTTTTCGATTGTCTAATAGACCTTCGCCCATTCCTCTCGAATCATCGTACAATGTCCGCCGATCCAACATAACTTCTAACCATCCAGGTTGATAACTTGCAGCTCCTTGAGCGTGATTCACAAGCAGAGTCAGTCGATGAGCAGTATCCTCAATGTAAGCCATCGACGTGATAGGAAAATAATTGCCCTCGATGCCTATCCTTTCAATTTTGGTTCGCTTGATCATCTGGTGGCCGTTCATATCCGTGTAAAACTCCGGAGGATCGCCATTGACTATGTCCGTCTGAAGTCGCATAAACATCTCGGTCTCGCGGTTTTTCGGCGGCGTCTCAAAATCTATGATGTTTCGCAGATGTATCGCTTCGGACAGCCCGCCGTCTTTGTGATAGATGGCCACGTTATGAGCTAGCAATTTGCCATACTCGACCGTCAACCTCGAGCTGAGCGCACCCGAGACGATGTAGATTTTCTGATGAGGCGTGTAAGCTTCGAGAACGTCTTTGTCGGAGTCCCGCAGATTGGGATCAGGCATGAAGAGATAGGCGCCGCTGTGGAACTGTGCAGACGCGTAGGCTGCAAACTGGATATTACACTGGACAATCTTGCCGCTTGGCTTTTTGGTGATGCGCTTGAGGAAGCCGGTTTGTCCGTCGAACAGTAGCTTCATTCGCTGATTCTCCAACTGCACGTCGCCCACTTGCATAGGTTTGATTGGGAAGACGTTGTCCTTGCCGCACCTGGTGCAGTAGACCGTGGAAATAGCTTCGGCCGGTACTCTGTCGGTCTGCTGCAGGTAGTATACCGCTATCGTCAGGGGTTTCAGGTCAGCTGCGAAAAGTACGACGTAGAGGTCGTGCGTGATGCTCGTTGCGTTCATCACCGGAGCGATCTGATAGGGTATGGGATTCTTTTGCGAATCCAAGATCCTCACCCGGTAAGTCGATACCTTGAGAGTGATTATCTCTTGTCGGGGCTGAGCGAGTGCATTGAACAGGACGATACGTTTGGTCTCGCGGCTGTTGACGCTGATTGGGATCTTTTTCGGTAACTTCTCGTAGCTGTCGCGATCGGACTCGGACAGCACGTAAACTTGGCTAGTAGTGGAATTCGATTTGACTTCCGTCGCGGCGAGCGACTGGATGGCGAAGCTCTGCAGACTCGTCATATCGGATATCGATTCGAACAGCTTCAAAGCGTAGTCCTTCATTACGAAGGATTTGGAAGTGCCGGTGATGGCGTCGTGGTGCTGAAAGAGCCCAAGATTCCGGCGAGCTTTTACCAGCTTCTCAAAGTACGTCTCGTACATCTTGATGTCGCGAGCCGTTTGCTTGGCCACGTTCAATGCGATCGTATAGAGTATTTCAGCCGAACGTAGATTCGCCTCCAACTCGCGATCGAGAATTTTCATGTACGGTCGCGTGGTGAAGTAGCCACTCCAGTAAGCTGGTCTTCCCTCGCTAAAGATGTCGGAGTAGACGAAAAAGTCACCTTTGAGCGTTGGGAAGCGTGCCATACGCTTTTGGATTTCATTAAAATAATCCTTTGGCGTGCCAAACACTACTTCGGCGTTGTAATCGTCTTTCCGGCTATTTATAAAGTCGATCAGGATTTTGTAGTTTGTGTATTGTTGGTCCCATTCTATGGGATGATCGTACCTATAACAAAACAGTTAAAAGCCAATTTTTATTATTCCTTTCCGAGTTGTATTTATCTATTATTATTATTTTCTTTATTACTAATTACTACTTTCTCGTGTATAACACGTTCTAATATTAATAATTGGAATAATAGCATTAGATAGTCAATATTTTTTTAATGAAATATTCGATGAAAAGTGTCTTGAATATTGAAAATAAAGTTTCAATTTCCAATGTTCATATCAAATAGGTAAAGTATAACTGAACTGACGTACCTAAAATCATCCCCGAGAGGTATTAACACAACATTGTGTGGAAAAAGTGAGCCAGTTTTGAAGTACTGCTCCAACAACTGTTCAGCCATCGCCTTTACATTGCTCGACGTGATATCAACAGCCTTGGCCGAATACTCGGTATACTCGTTACGTATCTTCCTGAAGTCATAATTGAGGCAGACGTGAGGATGTGGACCGCACGAATGCTTGATGTTGTAGATGTCGAAGGGTTGATTGTGGGTGAGCATATCCGAGGCTCCGCTTTGATCCCAAGGCTGCACCCACACAAAGTCACCGTACTGCTTCTTTGCAAACCACTGCTTCCACGCGTAATGTATCCGTTGGATCACTGTGCCCGAAGCTCCGGCTGATTTCAAGAGATAGGGTACTGTGCTTCCGTGACCGAACGGATCGACCGACCAGCCTGACTCTGGAGTCACGTCCAAATTCGTTTTCAGCCATTGGTGACCTAAAACATTATAAGAAAGCAGTTTCGTTGAAAAATTACGGGTTTTTTAAGTGCCATTTAGAATGAAGTAATTGACTAACTGTCTAACTAACTGCGAAAATGATACAAGTACGTCTAATTAACGTTAATATATTTTGTTGTCGAGCAACATGATATTTGCATAATATAATGTTAGCATATATCCAAGAAGTTCGTATCACAAAGTTGCCTTGAAATTTATGGGGCGCGCCCGTGTAAAGGCGTGAGATTATCAAGCTTTGCCGTCAGCTAAGGGTATGCACCAAAGCATAATACAGTCCAAAGTTTGCGCGAAAGCTTTCGCAAATCTCCAACTCATAATTAATCTGGGCGTTGAACAATTTCGATTTACTCTTTCTTTTTTCGCTCGTGAAAATGTGCTTTTAAAAAGTTGAGAGCACGACAAACGAACTGCGAGAAGTTGGAATTTCAAATTCATTAACTTGAAATAACTATCCCGAAGAGTAATTTAGCAAATAGCTCTCCGCGGCCGCACAGCTACAGCGCAAGAAGGAGAGCACACTGGGTAAAGGATGCGAGCCAAGTCTGGGAAAAGCGAATGAAGGCGACAACGATGAGAGAACAGCTTGCAAATTTGCGCTGGATTTTCGTCGCGGCGAGTGACTCCGAGTCGCGTGTACCATCGGCAGAGCTTCAATTAGAGGTCTACGAAGTTGATGATTTCAAGAATACGTAGCGTCGTAACGTTTTCATGTTCCACGAGCAAGCGAGAGAGGGAAGCTTTTAATTCTGGCAAACAAGTAATTATCGCGCGATATTGTATAGAGTATATAACAACCCCGTCTTTTATAATGAGAATGGGGTTGTGCTCACGGAGAGAACCTGCCTTGATTGCGAAATGCCAGTCACGTAGGAGTGATTAAAAACTTGCACCTCGATATAAGCCATTAACGAAGCAAAAAAAGAGTACTGAGAGGAGGGGTTGGCAATATAAGCTTTTGTCGACGACAGTATCGCCTATTTTTTCCCTCTCACTTAACGCGATGCCGTAATTAAGCACATAATTGATATTTTTAATTCTGAGACAAGACAGACAGTTGTTTATTCTGATTTGCGTGAACCTTTTAATAATTGGTTAAATACATTGAATACCGAGTTTTTGATGAATGTTTTGAATAAGTTTCATATCGAAAGTGGCCTTTCGAAAAATAATCCTCATCGCAGGCGGACTTTTTTCTGATCACTTTTGTGCGCCGACGATCATTTGTTGCATAATTTTAGAGCAGCTGAAAGGCACTCGTAGAGTAATGAACGCTAAAAGCACATATGCGTAATAAAAAAAATTACGTTCGGGCTTGACGAGAAGACAAATTAATTAGGTTTAAATGCCCCTCGGCGTGCAGATAAGCAGATTAATGAGGCGATAAATTTTTATGGAGAACACTTTCCGTCCTGCTCGATGGCGTAATGATCAACCACCGCGGTTTTCCAAAAACCCCACGATACGCTTGTGAATTTGGAAATATGATGAATCGAAGGGCTTCGCGGCCGGGGGAACGCGCGCGACCCGACAATCATAAAAATAATTGTGTCCGAGCTAATTATGCTTGCGCCAATAATGATTTCCCGAGAGAAGCGCACTCGAAAGCGCTTTGTTTCCGCGTTAGTGCGAGCTTGCGTGTATTGCAGTAGTCTGGAACACGCTGGCGATAAATCCAATGGCTTGATGCATTTAATGTATAAAGCTCTGAATGCCCCGCGCGCTGCCTGACGCATCGATCGTAATGACGTGATAATGCATTTGACGCAATGCTCCCTCTTATTTTGCAGTAGACGCGTATGAAAAGCGCATCGTTCGATATTGTATTCTCGTTTGATATTCAGGATACGCAATATCATTTTGTGCTAATACAAAAACGCGGTGAATTAATTTCGAAACGAGCTGCTTGTTCATCAAAGTAAATTAAGGATATTAATGTTGATTAAATATATTTCCAATTTATCAGTTCAGAATAGAGTTTACACTTGGCGCATTCAAAGCGTGCATATTTAAATATTATCGCCGACAAGTCTAACTCTAAAATAGAATGTCATTTGACGGAAGTATCGCGAATAAAAGCAATTCATATCTAAAAGTCGCGTATTCCGCTTCAGCCAGCCTCATGGAAATATCAGTGCCTTGTATGTTGGAGAAATCGGGCGATGTAACCGAGTAACAGACTGTTTGGCAGAATCTATCAGTAGAAGAGCGGGAGGTTCGAGCGTCGAGCACACGTACGGATTATATTGGCAGTAGCGAGGCTTTATTCGGCGCCAATCGATAACCAATTATTACGAGCCGGTAGTTATTTCCTTCCATAACGCTGCACCCACGCACCTTGATAACCTGACGGTTAGTTCGTGCGAGTTCCTATCTGTAGCGTTTGAGTCTCTCTATCTTTCTCTCTTTTTCTGTTTTAGCTTTGCGCGAGATATGAGTTCTGTACGAAAAAGGGGATATATAGAAGTCCCGATTGAAAAATAGTTCCGCTGTTCTCTTTTATTTTGCAGGGCGTTGAGGAGAGAGAGAGAGAGAGAGAGAGAGAGAGAGAGAGAGAGAGAGAGAGAAAGAGAAAACTTTTTGGAAAAATGCGATTGGAATTTGTGTTCCATTTTTTCGTTCTTTTTACTTTTTGTCAGCTCGATGGCAAAATTTCGTTTGTTAAAATGGGTAATAGCCAAATTTCAGCTGACGTTAATCAAATATCACACAGCCAGCACTCCTGAACTAAAAAAATTTATTTTATTAAAAATATATTATATTTTTTATATTCACTTTTCGAATATTTACAATTTTTGAAAGTTCCAAATCCAAATATTCGCATTTTATAAAGGCTGTTTCTCCATATAACGATTATGCTTTAACAATAATAATGCAATAAATTAATACAAGATTTGAATAACAAGTAGGTAGTATCATTAAAACACAGCAGATATAAACAACTTTCATTGTAAAGTTTTCCAGTCGCGTGAGTTGACATTGATATTTTCTGTTACAAAGCTCAAAGTAGATCATGTCATGCGACCGACTGACATCAGTGATAAAAATCGACTATAGTCAGACGAGGCATGGTATTACGTAAAACAGTCAACCTGCTTTATCCCAGCTGATATATCGAATACTAATAATGCAACAAAATAAATAATGGTGGAGAATTTTGCATAATATTTATAAATTTAAAACAATAATGAAAATGCGGTTTTTTGAAATATAATTAGTACTAACTACAATGAGTAGAAAGTTAGAGTTGGAATACATTTTATGGAGCTAAGTAATCTGATAGGGTGCACTCTGAAATTATAACTGTAGCTAAGTTTGATCCTAATAGACAGCGGATTTAGTCCCGCAGATAGTCAAAGTTAATTATAATAGAATTACCTACTACGCCATTGTTATTGTATTACCTACTCAGCCATTGTTACAACGACACGACCTCTTAGATTGTATAGTGGAAACGGAAAGATCATTAAGGTTAACGAACCGGTTTGCGCAATCTTAGAGAAGTCAGTGGTGTCAAATAAACTCGAACTATTTAAAGAAAATCAGCGTCTAGCTTCTACACTTTTGATTTGAGCTTTTTGCCTATCGAACCGTGCGTTTTTGTTTTTTCAAAGAGATTATTTGATGCCTGAGCAAAAGTAAAAGCGAGCGCGTTTCTTTTCGTGAATCCTCTTTTCCCAACACAGTCGCCAGCCAAAGTCGTGATCGTTCTTCCATGAAGTTTTACGAACTCCAGCTAATCCGTAGACTACAACTAGGCTATATACCGTAGCGCGCTGCGCTGGCTGGCGCACTTCCACTCGTTTAATTCCTGTGACGTCGTGGGGCATTCCGGTACACGGATCGGCACTCTCGCATCTCTTATTGTCTCGTTTTCCCGACTTATACTTCCTCCTTATTCTGCCTTCTCCCACACAGTCTTACACGCTCTACCTCTTATAAATTTCATTTCAACTAGCGAACAACTAGCTGCTGCTTACGTTTATCGACGTAACGAATTCCTCGAAGGAACAGCAACAACGATTATCGCTGTCATACGAAATCTCATAATTGTATTTTGAAGAAGAAATCACTGCGACTTAGGAATTTCTCAGACAAGTAGATTCACAATTATATCGGGATACATAGATGCCTTGAGAAATGGAAATAATGCTAGACAATTCATAGCTCTGCAAATTGCCGAGAAAATCTTTGGTCGTACCGCTTGCCGGTTACGGCCGACAGCATTGTAATAGGTAGCTATTTATCAGTGGTCAACCCTCAAGCCACTTGAAATTTCATTCCGAATCCGCAGTTACTACATTGCTGGCAACTGAAATACTAGAATTGCTCGAGCTCATTCAAATTAATTGCGGATCAAGTTGCATTTTTCAAGCTCTGTCAATATGGCTACGCTAAGCAACTGTTTCACTATTACTAAATATAAATATATATTGTTTGCATTTTAATGAAATACAAGAATTTTCACTTTGTGAATTCATGAAATAATATTGAATTTCAAAGGTAGAGAATTTTCTCAATTTCGAGCGGTAGTATAAACACAGTTATAACAGTGACTTTTTTACTGTTTTTAATAACGATTTATTCCATATGCGTGAATGATCAAAACATCGAAGGATTAACATTCAATAATGATACCTATTTGTAATTTATTAAATATCATTTTTTTAAAACGGTCGGATTATGATAAGCGCAATAATTGAAACAACGACGTTTCACGTGTTAACATTAATTTAGGCCACGCCTTGCCTCGAGAACTCGTATTTCCCTTGACATAGCTAACGATGTTTTCCGGCCACTTATCGTCTGGCTCCTCTTCAATAAAGCTCCCCTTAGACCACTGCTATGGTGACAAACCTTGGTACAGTACAAGCGACAAGACAATGGTTAGACAATGTACAACTCCGGGTGACGATAGCGTAGTGCAGTAGTGGAAATAGTCAAGGAGATGCCGGAGAAAGATGTTAACCGGTCGGCCGAC